AGCCGTTGGGCGGCGCTCAGGTGATAAGGCATGGCGATAAGGCAAGGGGCACAACACAGATCAAGGGTCTACCACCAGCATCGCTGGATCTGACGTCGACGATGCAGAAAAGGAGGTTGTCATGCATCGTGAGTCAGCGGACTTGCGGTGTCCTTGAGGCTCTGGCTTGTCGAGAAGGATCTTGATTGATATTGGTTGTTTACTGGAAGGACGTAAGGTGAGCAAGCGACTGACTGCCCGAAATCTTGGCCAAGGAGTGGTTTGAGGGTGGACGTTTGCCTCTTGACCAAGTCACTTTTTTGCGCTGCCAAGTCTTTTGGGCCATCATTCAGAGGTACCGTCCACACTCCACAGGGCACGGGCATCTGGATGGGCGCATCTTGGCTGGCGGACCCAACGGTGTTAATTGCTGTTGGGCCTTGGAACCCGGCGGTGGTGGTGCACGAGTCAGGCACGAAATGCTGAAGCGGCGGCAGTGGCTGACTTTCCAAGCACTGCGCCTTGCGCCTATCAGATACAAGACACTGTATGCACGGCACTGTGAATCCAGTCCAGTCCAGCAATCATACTGGTTTCCTTTTGAACTTGCAAGATTAAAACTGTTGTGTCGATGCACCTCCAGTGTGTTCAGCACACACACTATATGTTAGAGTGGTATGATCAACTTCCGTTTTACCCCTTGGTGGCTGTCCTTGCATTTTCACTCAACCGTCCCTTCCCTTCGATTTATGCTTTCCTGTGGTTTTGCAAGAAGGTTCTTACTTTGAGTCTGACATGTCAACTTTCCTATAGTTGTGATCTAGTATCATGCTTGCGGGAATCATGGGGCTAAATTGGCACTAACTAGGGTACAAAGATGCGCTTCCTGTTTTTTCCTTCCTGTTTTTTGGAACCATACCCCTACCACCATCCGCGCTTTGTTTCTGGTCCGCTCGCCCAGACTGACAAGTCGTTGATGAAACGTCAATCGCTCACCCCAATGGCCGACTGCAGGTCGTGCACACCGTTTGCTGTCGGTTCGAAAGGGCAGCCTTGCGGCAGTTGCACGGCGATCCTCTCGACCTACCAGCCGCCAGTCCGGTCACAATCAATCGATCGATTTTCTTGGTCAACTATGCTGCGCTACTGAGTCAAGCACGGTCACTAGACCTCTGGCCCGGTGAGAGGGAGGACGGAGACTTTGTCCCCGCAGCGAGATGACTGTTGCCCCTAGACTGGGGCCATGTGTTGCATCCTGACCCGAACCAAGAAACCCAATCTGCTTGGTCCTTGAGACGCCCGGTCAACTGATTGATGAATTAGCTCATTATGGCTCAGTCCAGTATATCCAACTAGAAGTCGTCAACGCAATGGATGACCCGCCTCTTTGCTGAGGAATTTCTGCTCGTCTCCGATATAAAACGGCCCGGTCCAGTCATTTCCAGTATTGTGCATTGTCTTCCTGGTGACTGGCCTGCACTTGCAGTTTCTTTCATACTGAGTGTGTTTATGATCAATCCCCAATGCGGCTTATTCAGGGCGGCCGTTGGCCTTTAGGGCTTCTGCTGGCAGCAACAGCGCCGGTACTAGGCTCTCCTGTCGCGCCTCGATCCGCAGGCCCTTGGCTTGCCATTGATTCCGACTTCCCCGACCCCGGCTTCGTTCAGGGTGATGACGGGGCATGGTACGCGTTTGGCACCAACGGCAACGGCAGGACCGTCCAGGTGGCCACATCCCCTGATTTCGAGTCTTGGACTCTGCTGGATAAGGAAGCCATGCCCACCCTGGCTGGCTGGGAGACAGCCGTGGACCACTGGGCTCCAGATGTAGTACAGCGGGTATGCTCCAGGCGTTTCTTTGTTAGCAAGCCGAAGCTGTTTTCAAAGGGGGGGGGAGGGCAGTAGATGATCAGCCAGGCCCCGTTTTACCTTCTACACTCTTTTGGCCACCGAGCTAACCGAGGAAACCGAATCAGAACGACGGCAAATTCGTCCTCTACTACTCAGGCGAAGCCAAAGACGACCTCCGCCACCATTGCGTCGGCGTCGCCGTCTCCGTAACCACCGACCCGACGGGGCCCTACATCCCCAACCCCACCCCGTTGTCCTGCCGACTGGACCAGGGCGGCTCCATCGACCCGTCGGGCTTCCTCGACCGCGACGGCAGCCGCTACGTGGTGTTCAAGGTGGACGGCAACAGCATCGGCAACGGCGGCGACTGCAACAACGGGATCGCGCCGCTCAAGTCCACGCCGATCCTGCTGCAGAAGGTCGCCGACGACGGGTTCACGCCCGTCGGCGACGCGGTGCAGATCCTCGACCGCGACGACAGCGACGGGCCCTTGGTCGAGGCCCCCAACCTGATCCTGCACGGCGACACGTACTTCCTGTTCTACTCGACGCACTGCTACACGGACCCCAAGTACGATGTGCGCTGGGCGACGAGCAAGTCGATCACGGGCCCGTACACCAAGTCCGGCAGGCAGCTGTTCGCCTCGGGCCAGTGGAATCTGACGTCGCCGGGGGGTGGCACGGTGTGTGGGTGCGGGGATCGCATGCTGTTTCATGGGTTCTGTGGGGGGGATAGGCGGTGTACGTACGCGGCGAGGTTGGACATTCAAGGGGAGGATGTGGTTGTATTGTAGGATGTGGTGGGCTTCTTGTGGGCGTGTTCGGAGTTGTATAGTGTTTATACTGTTTATAGCGAATACATATAGCGGATTATATACTGTACTAGTACAGTCAGCGCAGCAGCTGCAGTAGTCCTCTTACTTGTAGAAGAGAGCGATCCCGGGGGTTCCCCGACCCCCGTCTTTCTTCCCAGTAGCAGTTGAAGTATAAAATACACCATATACCAGGGAAAAGGCCAATCCAACACCTAGAGTCCAAATTCATAGCCTCATAAATCATACCTTCATAACCCCACAACACCATCAACACCAAGCCCCACAAACCACCATATACAGGATATATAAAGTGTACAAATCACCGTACCCGGGGGTCCCTCCCCGGACCCCCGTCCTTTTCATTCTCACCCAAGAAACCAAGCTACGAAACCCCCAAAACCCAATCCTCAAAAGCCACCACCCCCTCGCGCCCCTCCAACACAGGCACAAACCCCAACACCCGACTGTACGCCGCCACCAACTCCCGCCAGTAACACGCCTCCGCCGCCGGCGTCAGATACCGATCCCGGAACGTCCGCACCGCCTCCTCGGCGATCCGCTCCGCCACCTCGGGATGATCGATCAACCACCGCATTTTCGCGTCCAGATCCCCCCACCCCTCCTCCTCGACTACAACATAGTTCGCCTCCGGATGCGGCGCCGCCACCAGCGCCGCATGGTGCGCCTCCCGCCACGACAGCGGGTGCGAGAGCACCACCGACTTGCAGTTGAGGAGGTACTTGCCGCGGCCGGAGAAGCTGCGCCCCTCCGTGTGCGCTAGGAACATGTAGCCGCAGTGTTCGTGCATCGGGAGGAAGGCTTCCGGCAGACCGCTGCCTGAACCGGAACCGGAACCGGAACCAGCCGACGATTCGGAGGTAGAATCCCAGTCCAGAGTATGCACACTGGACCAGCTCTTCCCCTGCGCGGCTTTGAGGAGCGTCCCCCGAACAGCGGGGTTGGTGGCCGTGCTGCCGCGCCAGAGGAGTTGTTTGCGCTTCTGCGGGAAGGGAAGCGACGCTTCGAGGGCGGCGATGCGCGTGCGCAGGGCGCGGTACGGCCCGATGGCCACTTCGGGCCACGACCAGTAGCCGAAGTCGGGCATCAGCCAGGTGTGACGGTGGTGCGGGAGTTTGGTGTACGACCAGATCGGGGACCCGCCGGCGGTGGTGGGCTGGGAGGTTGTGGGCGGGAGGTAGAAGTCTTCGGTGGTGAGGATGAATTCGAGGGGTGGGAGCGGGGTCGGGGAGGCGGCGAGGGCGCGGTGCAGCGCGTGCAGGGTTGCTTTGGCGCGGCTGAAGGTGACGGGTTGCGGGGTGTAGGAGATTATGTAGAGCTTTTTGTAGGAGGGGGGATGAGGTTAGGTTAGGTTGATATTTAGGTGTAGTAGGGCAGCAGGAGGGGGGGGGGGGTTGTCGACACAAAGAAAAGGGCAACCCCTACCTGTCCATCCGCAATCATCCCCCGCACCATCCCATCCGCCATCTCGATCTGATCCAACTCCTCAAAGCGGATCGGGTTCTGCGCGCGGGTCGCCGTCGAGTTGTCGATCTCCACGAACAGCTTGGGGAACGCCGCGCGGCATTGCGGCGCCGTGAGCCCGTAGTTGTTGCCGTCGCGCGCCACCTGGAATTCCCAGGCGCTGGTGGTGTTGCTGCTCATAGGAAGCTCCACGGGCGGCGGGGCACATCCCCCGGTCTGCAGAGATGTCTTCAGCGCATATTTGGCGACCGAGGTGGAGTACTGCGTGCCGAAGATAAGGAATGTCGTGAAGATCAGCGAGAGGACGGCGGCGGCGGCGAGGAGGTGCGCTTTTGATATGGTGTACATCCTCGATGCTGGTCGCAGGTGAGGCGCATTCCTCTTGGAAAGCGTCCTCTGCAAGATGTCGCGCTGTGGTGTAAGGTTGATGCGTGATAGATGTCAGTTGAGTCGATGCGATAAGCTCAGTGTTGATAGCGCAGATCCCCCATGATGCAATGGGGGTTGTCATGGCAACCTTTCATTTACTTGTACTCATACTACGTTCGAGTATGCATCAAGTCTGCTCTCCACACCAGATCTAGGCTTAATACCATAATTCGATTTACTACGTATATAATTACTACCAGTGCGTACTGCCAACTACACAACCCAAACAGAGGCCAGGAGTCGGTCGCTTCTATGTCGAAATAGTCTCAAGATGTATGTACATGGAGATCACAGGCGCCATCGGGGCAAAGGTATTCAGGGGTATCTCAAAATCAATCAGAAAGGGTTGTCACGAGTCTAACGAAAGATGAACACCAGGCCTGCCAATCACTCAGAAAAAAAGAGACGCAATGCATTACAAAATTGGAGGGATGGGACAGCACGATCAAGAATCATTGGTCATCGCCCGCGCCCCAGCGTTGCTGAAGTAGCTTTCATCGATCTTTAAGATCCACTCCACCTTCTGAGCTTCCGTCCGGGCCGCAAACAGAAACGTGTTCTGCGACCCATACACCGCAAACACATGGCGGCCCCTCGACGCCCCACGGTCACCCGTCGTTCCTGGCCCGTCGAGAAGCCGTGCAAAATCAGGGGAATGATCGACTCGCGAGTTGCGCAGGTTGATGGCATTGATCTCGTCCCCATCGGGGACGGAATGAATATGCAGGTAAGGTCGGCGAAGCTCAACAAACCGCCGCACCCAGTGGCTGTTGGTATCATCCGGGGTAAGTAGGTATCCAGACTTGAGAGAAGATGGATTCTTCGGAAGAGTCTGGATGGAGGCCACAAATCGCGGCTTCAAGGATGCCTCGTCGGAAGTGGAGCTCGAGTTCTCGTCGTCGCTGGACGAAGACTGCCGGATCCGAGAAGAAAAAGCCGCCCCGCCTGCAGGAGGCTCGGTGTTGCTCCGAACAAGGATTGCTTCAATCGGATCGGTCCTCTTCGCCCAGAGATCGATGTATTTCTGGAGAAGTTTCGCATCGCGGTCCGCGCCTTTCTGGCTCCGGAGAGGGGTCGAGCGTCCACTGCGCATAGGCGATGCCACCAAGCTATTGGCACTGAGAGCTCCTTTCGCAGCATATAGCTCGGCGATGCGTCGCCGCCGTTTGCGCGCAGCAACATAGTCCCGCACGAGCGACACCTTGCGTGGGGACCACGTAGTCAGATACTCCTCGCCTTTGACATAATCATTCTGCGTGTTCATGCGCCACAGGTCTGCCGCCCGCTTGGCAGACACCGGCCGAACCACCAAGGAAAACATGCGAACAGTCGAGTGCACAATACGCGTGGAGTTGAAGAATTGCTTGAACATCGATTGCGGTCGAACATAGGTTCGACCCTGGATCTGGAGAGTTAAGTCAATCTCGAAGGGCACTGGGTCCTGCAAGCGTGAAGAGATCAAGTCCCACCTCAGGGTCACCTGGACGCGGTACTTATCCGCAGTCACCCGATCAAGAAGAAGAGACCCGTGCAAACTGGAGTCCCATTGGCCTATGATGGTGATATTAGAAGTCCCGTCTGCATTCTCTTTCACACCGGGCTCCTGGATGAACTTCAGTGGGACGTCGGGAGTTTGCAGGTCTTGATCCGGGATTTTGCCCCAAGGGTCCAGCAGTCGCACGGACCCCACGCGAATGTTGGTCAGATCATCCCAAGGCAGACTCTCGGTGGAACTATAGGTCAAGTTCGCCATGATACGACGCTGCAAACCTTGGTGTAGTTGGTATGTGCCTGCATCAAGGCTATTGCTTTGAACAACCTCAACCGGAAGGTATTCGCCGGATTCCGCCAATTCGAGGATCTGCACCCTTGCAAAAACGTCGTGTCTCTCTTCGGAATAGAACTCTGTTTCGGCAATCCGTGGAGTTTTCCGTTTCTTGGGCGCCGGCTCGGCTGAGTCACGCATGTCGTCCCAGCTGAGAAGTTTATCGAGGTGCATCTGGGTCACACGTGCATAGACGCAGATTTTCAGAGCGGCGCTGCGGGGGCTGGACAATGGCAAGCTCATGCTGTGGACGCTCTCGAATCGCACCGGGGCTTCATCGAATCCACTGATCATCTGCGTCGTGGTGGCACCGCCCTCCTCGGAGATCCCAGGCACAACGAGCTGAGCATGCACCTCCGACCCTTCCCATTCGGCAAACCCAACCATATCCCGCATGACAACGTTGAACTTCAACGTAGACGACGGGGCCTGGGCCGAAGAGGGCTCCAGAGACAGTCGGATAATGCCGATGACGTTCTGCGTATAAGGTGAGAAAACCTCGACGGAGAAATCCTGCACTCGAGTTTCGAAGACAGCAGTGAGCGGAATGTCGGCGTCGCCGACAAGCGAGTACTGAGGCGAGCAGGGTTCGGAGAAGGGATTCTCTAACTTGAAATGCTGGATGTAGTCAGGACGGTCGATGTACTGGTGTAGCTGACGCATAGCCTGGACGCGACGCTGGAGCTTCTCGATGGACCAGAGATGTATCACACATTGCTTGAAGTCAATGACGCGGACAGCTACGCAAGGCTTCCTGGCGTCATCCAAGACAACGTCCTCGTCCCCGGAAATACCGTTCAGTACGAGGTCATAAGACGAGGCCATGTTGTGCCCATGGTCGATGATTGCAAACTGAAATACAACATTCTTGTCCATGATCTGACTCATGACCTGCGCTTCCTTCAGCAGCGACGCGTATTGCAACACCTTCTCGGCCATGCGAACGTAGCTCTGCTGAGACCAGTGACGGTAAACTGAACGTGCGACCTCGAGTTCCCGGGCGTCGAGTTTGGCAAAGCCATTCTCGTAGACTTTGGGTACCGGTTGGCCTAGATCCTTCATGTGGGACTCAAATGCTTCCTTTTGTTTCCTCAGTTGTTCCTCAAATTCCTCTTTCGCTGTCCGCAGGGCTTCCTCCATCCGGGTCTTTTCAGAGCGGAGGTCTTCAACGTCTTGACTAGATGACGTCTCAGCATTTCTCAGTTTGTCTTGGTATTCCTCTTTCTGCCGGTCCAGCTGCCGCTGCATATCCTGGCGCACAGATTGCAGAGTCGCATCGGCTCCACTCTGTGCCTCATCGTCATCGTTGGGACGAGGAGTCCCGGGCATCGTGATGGCAGTATCCAAGGAGAAGTTGTCGATAGTGCCGTTTGACATGTACTTGTCTCGTACGGGAAAAGAACTCAACGAGTCAGAATCCTCCTCATTCTCCGCCAGGCCCCGGCGTGTAGCCCTGACCTTCTGCACATCCTCAAACAAGGCGTCCAGCTCATCATCAGGCATATGCGAGATATGATCGGGCCCCAGTACAGCGCTGACGGCTTCACGGCGAGCATAGAACCAATCGGATTCCCTGCTGGGCTGTGACGGCATCGGTGAATCGGCCCTACTCGAGTCGCCATCAATCTCCGACCCGGTTTTGCTCACATTGCGGTCATGGGTTTTGTTTGGCGCGGGTGAGCCAAGCTGGCTTGTGGTGACCGTATGACGCAGCAGACTTTGCTCGACTCGTTCGGCACGGGCCTCTTGCGGATGGTTGAAGCGGAAAATGTGGAAGTCACCCAGAATGATCCGAAACCCACTTTTAAGGCGCTTAGGTTGATCGATGCGCAATCCATTCACCATAACGGCGGCGCCTTCAGTGGGGATGATGGTGACAATGTTGTCCACGTTCTCAAACTTACAGTGATCGGCCATGATCTTGGAGCCGTTCAGTCTGATCTCCACATGGCTGCCCTGATCCATATTGCCAACCATAGTGGTTCCTGGTTTGATGTTGTACACAAGGCACTCTGCGAGTAACGGATCGTCACTGAGATTGACCAAATGAGGCATCTTCTTTGGTGTACTGAGACCAATAAAGCCCTTCTCGATACTGATTCCAAGCTCCTCCAAGGCTGTTTCGCGCTCCTTGTGGATCTGCTCGGTCTTGGCCATTTTCTCCTCCCATGTCTGGTTCAAATCCTTATAAAGCTTCTCGCTCTGGTTCAATTGCTCCACAATCTCCGCCTTGCTGACTTTGGTGACTGAGCCATCTGCCTGATGGATCGAAACCATCTGCTTCTCCAGAGGCGTGTCTGGGGGATAAGATTCCTCGGGTGGGATGCCGTCAGCGGCAGCGAGGTTGCCAGCAGCCGCGCCGGCCATTGCTGCTACACCACCACCAAGCTTCGCTCGCAGCTGCGCTAATTCTTCCTTCAATTCTCTGATCATCCGTGCGTTGGGGTCCTCGTTCACCACTGCGTGGTTCTTGATTCGCTTAGCCGAGTCTGCGTACCTTAAAGTACTCAGAGTCTCATCGAAGTTGATATCGGCAGGTGAGATCGCAGCAATCATCGCCGTCATGGAGTTACCTCCTAAAGAGTCCTTGAGCAGCCATGTGAGGATAGAGTCACGATACGGAACCATTGAAGCATTCTTCTTCTTTCCAGAAGCCACATCCGCCAGAGCAGCAATGACACGACCGAGGGTGGACAGCGATCGATTGATCTCAGCACCTTCCTTCAACCGCGCGCCGGTGGCTCCCGTCGAATTTGCTCTTTCCGAACCCGCAAGATCGACCAGACTGATTCGGGAGACCTTCTCGGTGTCCATCGAGGTTTCGGCATCATGGCGCTTTTGCGTAAGGGTCAAGGTGAACACGGCGTGCGATCGACTAGAGGTTTCGTTCATGTTCGTTGCCGCCACCGTTCGGGCCTTATTACCCTCGTCCATCAAATTGTCGATTTCATCGAAGGAGCGCACGACCAGTTTGGCCAGGTCCTCCACGTATGGACCCGTGGACGGGTGCTCGCGGACCTTGAGGTTCCCCTTGTTCGAGGGATTGAGCAAATCGCGGACTCGCTCGTTGTAGATCTCGAGATAGGACACTTCCACGGTACAGCTGAGGTTTTTGTCTTGCTGGATGGCAGAGATGCGCTCGAACATGGACTGGCAGATCCGAGGAATGACACCATACTCCTTGCCATAACCCATCATCGAGTACGACTTTCCAGAACCCGTCTGACCGTAGGCGAAGATGCAGTTGTTGTAGCCCTGGAAGGCATTGTCCAACAGTGGCACACCCAAGTCACCGAAGAGGTTGTCCTGGCTTGCGTAGTTCGGGGCATTCTTGTCGAAAGACCAATACGACCTGTCGAAGGCGAACGCCTTCGGCCCTTCCACGGCACCTTTCCCACCGGCCTTGCGTAGTTTGTCGTCGGCACCAGGAGGCGGGATAAGAACCGTTTGGTTTCCTTTCATCTGAATAATACATTTTGCATTTCGGTCGAGTTCTAGACAACAGGAATGTAAATGGGCCAGTCAGTCCAGGGTCCGGGAGTATGTGCGAGTCCAGTCCGTCGCATTCGCCCTTGCTGTTTTTCTTTTCCTGCTCACTCACCTCTGCTGTTGAACGGCCGTACTCGGACCACCACCTTGATATTACCCATTTTGGTCTAACTCCCACCGACGGGGCCTTTCTTTCGGGGGTTTCGTTCCGCTTCTTGTCGTTATCGATACACGGGGGGTGTGTGACAGGGGTTGTTGTTGAACAGGTTAAAAGTGGGAAACACAAAAGTCGCGAACGCTACAAGGAGCGCCGCCCTAAGATGTTTCGCAGGCTGGTGTGTTTTTCGGCCCGGGTCCGCAGGTGATTGCTTCTAAGCTCGAGATTCAGGGTATGGAAAGGGGTCACTGGAAAATCGACAGATAAGGCCGAATGTCAACAAAGACGTCATGTATTGTTGCGGGCGGATCGTTTGGCGCGTCTTAGGGGTAGCAAGATCGCAATAAACATGGACGGTTCGGAAGGGGAGTCGACTGCAGTGCGACAAGCAGACCGGATCGAAGAGGGATTCACCGAGCAGCAATAGTTTCGAAGGTTCGAACAGGGAGAAGGGAGGAGGTGGAAGTGTTATTGCATTGATTTATCGGATGAGATCCGGGGGCCGATGGACTGGACTGGACTCGACTGTCAAAATGTTCTTGGGTTCTTCTTCACCTTTGCCCCCCAAGCACAAGCACAAGCAGCAGCAGTAGCAGCAGTCACTTAGCAGCAGCACGGGACGGGGAAAAGCCACACTATGAGACGGGGCGGGTTTCGAGGGAGATCACGTAAGCGTCTCTCTGACCCTCCAGACCAATCATAGCTCCATCTGGTCTCCCTGGGAGCTTAGTCATTTATCCCTGGGCTTGCTAGCTAATTAGCAGTCACTAGTTAGTTAAGGTAAAAGTTACTTAGCTTTGCCTAGGTAGGTAGTTCACTCACTGACTTAGTGGTACGTATTCCAGCTTCACCCATGCATTCATCTGCAGGCACACATTCTTGAATGTGTCCTCTCGACATCATGATTTGCTTCCTCCCACATAAGGTGTCTGATAGATCTGGTGCTTCCAGGATCGTTGCGTTGTCATAGGCTCATGGTTGATTACCCTCTCCTGCAGTTCCACCGGTTCCAAAGATTATCCGCTCTCCACTGCAGGGCTTAGACTCGGCTTGAACTAGATAGTAGTTTCGATGAATTGGAGGAATGAAATGAAGTACAGTGGTTTCTTTCCTTATCAGCATGAATAGTAAAATTAGAAAAAACAGGTCATGGGCTATGCTCAGCTGCAAGTTGTAGCCACAATTCCTCTCACGTGTGCTCTCCGTACGTCATTTGCTCTCACGTTTGTTAACGGTGGTTGTCTGCCCAACCCTTCATAAGCTCTCGGAGTATCTTTTCAAGACAAGCCCCTCCTGACCCATGCGGCCTGGTTACCACACAAGTCTTCGCCAAAGGGAGGGCGACTGCGGGGTCAGGCTGCCTCTTTGTTTGTAGCTGAGAAAATGATCTCTTAAGTAGCCATCTAATCCTTTCTGCCTCACCCCGCCCTGTCGTCGCAATCAGGCAGACTTGGACATGTAATAACAACTACGGATTAACTTATAGACTTTCCGCCCAAGAGAACTGGGTCAGTCGGACTGTTGACTGCTTGGGTCCACAGGGACAATCAGATGTGCTTCTGGCTTTGTTCTTCGTTGGCCGTAGGTCATATACGCGGAAGACTAGTAAGACTCCAAGAGGGGTATAGATCACGATTATCGCTGTCGCCTCCGAGGCTCGGAGCGACAATCAGGCAAGATTCCTTCTTCGTTTTGACCTGGACGTATTGAACACACACAGGTCTTACAGGCGGAGTCCCGACCATGATGCATTAGTTTATCGCATAACCTAAGAACCAGTACAGCGCGTACCTCCTCTGATGCCAGTGATCCAGGCGGACTTGTTTCAGGCGCTGGTGATGTGAGATATATGAGAAAGGTACTATTATCATCAACCTCCCTGATTGCTTTCGATTTGTAAACTAGGTTTGCACGAATGCTGCATGTACAGCTGGCAGGATGCGGTGGATCGGTCTGTTGAACCTGTAAGAGAGGGACAGGTAGCCAGCCGACGGTAAGGTACCAGAATCGTTGGTCTCTACCAAGTCTGGTGAAGGCATATCGCTACCCAATAAGCACCATTCCTCTCCTCAAGCAACGTAGCAGTCACTTAAGTAAACATGCATTGGTGACTCGCGGCCCCGTCCTGAATGTCACCCTGCGGAGTCTACTCACACTAAGCAGCTGGGATATAACACAGGAATGACATCTTCCTTGAGAAGAGGTACTTTCTTCTACGAAGGGTACAATATTGGGACATCCTACTAGTGATTCTGCCTTGGACAAAATGCATCGCATCACTGATGCTGTGGTGAATCATTGCCGAAAGAGTCTTCAGTACCATTCTTTGGACCAAACTCAAAGGTACCAGGGCCTGTACTTCGCTCCTGGACGCTATGCGTCATCAAGCCGATGTGTCGGCCCCTCTATGAAAGAGTTAATTCCCGTCCTTCATCCATCATGCATCTCGTCAAAGGCACTGGGGCGAATGTAAGCAACCTCGCGGGAGGAACTCCTTACCTGAAGAGAAGAAGGTTTGCCGGCACAACTCAGAGTTCAGCGCATATCACACAGAAGTCTCTAGAAGCGAGCACAACCTCACGACGCTGGAACTCTCCTCGATGGTGTTCATCAAGGTGGTATCACTGCTCATGTGAGCGCTCTCTGAACCTCTGTTTCATACCGAAACTGTAGTCCAGCGGGGAGGATGACTCCAATCATCAAAAACCCGGTAGCTGGAGTGTCGCATAACACAGCCTAGCGAACCGAAATCGAGGCGGGACAGAACTGGCAGGCAATGCCTAGTCCATGGCCCGGGTGGCCAATAGACCGACCCATGGAAGCGTCATATCTAGCAACCCGTCCTGTCATTGCACACAGCAGCATGCAATCGTTCCATTTGGTGTTGAGGGCTGGACGCCCATCCTTTCGCGCCCCCTTGCAACAGGTCAGTAGCTGACTATTGTTCAACCTGACCCTAAATTGTGCGATGCAATACTTCGGTCTGATGATGATCGTGTGTAAGGGGCTTTCGCTCAATGAGCCTTCTGGGATGGAAGGGTCGCGCTTGTGAAGCGTACACTGCGTCGATCAGCATAACAGCTTGACGAGCAGCAATTCGTGCTATGTGTTCGTGACTTGTCCCTCAACTCTCCGGGAGTAGCCATTCTACTACTTACAATGTCAAAGTTTACCAATATGGCAGTAGCCCCGGAGCAGTGTATTGAGTAGAGTAGCGCTGAACGTAGACTCAGGTGACAAGGTTCATTGTACTTGTAGACGTTATGAGGATAGCTGTGCAAATAGTATAAACCACCTGGGTCGGCAGACTCTTCGCTCCTTGCCTCTACACTGTAGTTCTTCGATTGCCTTTCATGCGATTGTGCGCGGGCTGGCCTGTGAAGCACAGTGAGCCATAGAGTCATCACAAGGATCCCATGGTGTCGAACTGAAATAGTGTTCTTGAAAGGTTATGATCAGGTTGTTGGTTTGCGTACACATCCTTCCCCATGTAGTATCAAGCTGAGCACATGCTCGTGATCCGCGGATGGCTCCAAATGTTATGACATTCCCGATCTTGACGAAATCTTTTGTGTTTCAGAAATGAAGACTAATCCCTGTCATCGGACTCAATTGATGGTACTGTCAAGGGTATGCAATCTTTCGGCGTGGCCCGATCTCGTGTCTTTCCGATTGCGCGTATGACAGCGAGGTATCTCATAGGGCGCAGTCGATCCGATAGAATGGCCGGATAAAAGGTAAAGCGTCGATCGGTCGGTCACGCTGTTCTTCCACTGCGATAATTAAGTCCGGCCAGCAGTTTCCGCCACCCGGCAGTTTGACAAGAACATCCATCAACACGGAAACACGGCAGTTTCATAACACGATGTTGGCGGAAAGTTAAATAGAAAGGCTCTCCGCCACGTGAGGAAGCAGCCGATGGCATAATTTGCGCGCTATAGGACTTGAAGACCTACAAGCGCATTGCAATAGGCTGCATCAGAGGATTTTGGGGGGTGATGAATAGGTTGAACTCACAAATATGCGTTTATTGTCATTTCGAAAACAGTAGAACTAGTTGGTATTGCTTGTTGAGGAGGTCGGCTAAATCCAAACCAGAGAGCGCGTTCTTGCTATGAGCAGTAGGCCAATGGTTAGATCTATCTATAGGCAGCACAGCTGGTCGAGTATGGGTAGCTTATGTTCGTGCGAACAAAAGCTATGTTACTTGATGTCATTGTATAGCATCCCGAAAGATCGGTTAGTGGAACCCTCCGCAGCGCTTGGTCTGTCCTCCGACATACCCAGCTACTCGCTCACTCCTGTTTGCGACCAAGATGGAGCGGTGTGGCGGGGACTATCATCCACAGCTGCCCTGACGTCACTTGGCCAGAGCTTGGGTGGGTGCTTTTTGCTGGGGTTCAATATAACCACGATTAAGTCTCGGATCCCAACCTTGACACAAGCTCAAGCTAGACGCAGTTACGCGAATGTCATGGGGGCCCATATGAGTGCCAAGATCCATCTTCCCGCGGTTAAGTGAGGATCCTTTATTGTCACTTGCTTCTAATTTGGGGATGCGACAGAGGTTCTTTGTTCCGCTCCGTTGAAGCTGTACGGGTAAGTTTGCGCCAGGCGGTCAAGCTTCACACGTGGTATAGAACAGACCAGCCTAACAATCCACCCTCTATCCCACTAGCAATCACGATGGTGTTGAACTCGACAGGCCCGAGAATGCGGAGAGTTTTAAATTTGACTGGGCACTTTACGATGCTTGTGCAGGGTGTTTGGGTGCTCCGAGTAAGGATTGGGCCTAATCTTCCACAAGTAGGACTTGAGCCTCGTGTCAGAACGGATGTATATATTCTCGGACTCGATAAGACCATCCGCAACATGACGTCCCCTCTAACAGCTGTACGGACTAGAACAGCAACAAACTGCATACACAGCTCAGTCACAGATGTGACATGCTGAGACAATACTGTCTTCATCGATAACCATAATACTAGAGAACTTTGAGGATGC